TACCAAGCTGAAGTGGCAATGGGCAGGGCACATAGTACGCAGAACTGACGGCCGATGGGGCAGCAAGGTTCTGGAGTGGAGGCCGCGTACCGGAAAACGCAGCGTGGAACGTCCACCCACAAGGTGGACCAACGACATCATAAAGGTAGCAGGAAGGCGCTGGATGCAGGCCGCTACCAACCGGGCAACATGGAAAGCATTGGGGGAGGCCTATGTTCAGCAGTGGACGTCCTATGGCTGACATGATGATGATGATGATGAAGCCTAAATATGAAGTCCATTTGATTCATGTTTTTGGTAAAGTATAATCTCTACCCAAAAAATAGCGTAACCCAAAGTACGAGGCTAAAAATTGCTAAGTAGAAAATAATCTGTCTGTGTTTGAAGCATTTTTTGAAAACTGACATAAAATCAGGCCATGAACTTTTACGCGACGCTTACGAACTTTAAATCAAAATTAAATCAATATACTGTAAAGTAAAACCTCTTTTCTTCACGGCCGTAAACATAAAAAGTAAAAATAAAAATAAAAAGCAAAGATCAGTGCCGCCAACATCGTAAAGGTGCGCCGTATCATAGCGCGCCATTTTAACGAGCGAATATTCTGGAGTCACTCGAGTTTGTCATTTTTATTTTATAACTGACCCGGCGAAATTCGTACCACCTTTGTTCATCAGAAAATTCAGAAAAAATTTAAGTGTAATAGTAATCTAAACGGGATAGAATTTTCCAAATCAATCCAGTTTTTCTATTCACTAAAAACTGGAAAACAATAAAAACTTTCCTCTTTAAAAATGTACACTTATTGCATCCATTATTGAATGATGATTGTGATTGCAATTTTTTCACATTCCACGTTTAGATTATTCCCTGTCAAAAGCAACTGAAACTTCAGCTTAAAAAAGCTCGGAAAAGCTTTATCGTGAAAAACTGGCCACGTAAAGCCGCGCTACGGAGCTTTGTAGCTTTTCTTTTTTCGCGATTAGCTTTTATAGCTACAGGCTTTTTTGGACGTTTACATACCTGAGTGAGCTTCAGTGTTGGGAATCGATGACTGATTTTAACCTAATCTAATTAGAAAAGCTTACTAAATTTACATTACTCTACGTACGTAAACTTAGGTACCTACTTTTAAAACAAAACCGCACCTTTAGCTCTATGATATGATTCAATATACTTGGGGCTATAAATATGAATACAATTATTGAACCTGATATGCAAACAAAGGACTCACCTTGGTCATTTTAATGCAACAACGAAAATAATTTGTTCGTTTCAGCCAAATGACGTCCACTTCTGGACAAAGGATTTCCACAACGTCGTTGTTGACCGGTCGTTGTGACAACGACCGGTCCTGCGCTGCCCCCACCCAGGTACTAAGACCTTCACCAGATCGTCGGTCCACCTACGGCCTGCCCCACTACCGTCGTCTTCTGGCCCACCGAAATCAGAACAACGAAAATATGTCTTAAAATTAAGATAATGCAAATAATTTTCTCGAGCGATTCCAGAGTAGGGACCGACCATAAACAAACAAGTCAACGCGGAAAACGAGTTTATAAAAAACGTCATTTGCATCTGCGCGCCTCTTCCCGCCTCCGCGCCGTGATTGGTCGCCGCGCGCCCAATGGCTGCCGGCGTCGATTTAAATTTCGAATCATTTCCCTTTTTCCGCGATAGACAATGAAGGCATCATTGTCGTTTGTTTTGATTTTAAATTTAGAATCTCAATGATAAGATGTGACAAAAGAAAATTATTTGGGGACCATTTTCAATCTTACTTTTATTTTGTAGAATGAATTTATTTTTTTGTACAGAAAAATGGATGTCCAGCAGTGTGCATAGTGGACGTAATTTGGCTGAAACGAAAAGAACTGGACCCATCTTCAATGTGCATTATGAACAAAAATCTATTTTAGAATCTTAGAGTGGGCGCAGTTGCTGGAAGAATAATAATCCGGTGATTTGGCCTGTGGACCAAGCTAAAAAAATGGGCCAAGTCGCCAGAAGACTCCTCAAAATCTCAATTTTTATAATACAAAGATAACGATATCCATTAATTTAATAGACAAAATCATCGAACTTCAGTCGCTCATTAACAGCTCGAGCAGTAATCGCTCGTTAGCGCTACAAATTGAACTAATTACCACCCTCGGGCGGTGACGCGCGAAAGCCCTCTATGAGCAGTGGCGCGCTGGCCTTGATAAAGATTGTATTCTTGGTCGGGACAAAATGTATTTTTCAGTTGGTTGCGCCGGGATATTACATCACAGAACAGTAACTTACTTCGTTAATATTTGAAATAAGTGTGATAATTCCAATCCGTACAAGAAATCGTAAGAATTAGTATGATTTGTTAAAATTTTGAATTGGATCTCAAATAATGAGCCTCTGTATCTGTAGAAATAGAGGTAACAAAACACTATGAAATAACAAGTTAAGTACAGTTTTTTATTTTTAATTTGAGTTTTTTGAAGTGAAATTTTAACTCTACCTACTTTTGTCTAGAGTGTCTTTGTGAGAGCCACACTCTACTAGACAAAGCCTGCAACACGAAAGAACAATAAGTGGTAATGATGACGTAACTTTAGATTACCAATCGTTTTCGTTACTTTATTGAATCCATATCTTTAAAACGATACTTACGTTCTCAATAATTTAGATTATAGGAGGCAAACAGCTAAAATAGCTTATCTCAGTTAAAATTAATAAATCTGTTTGTTTATTTAAGTAATTTTTTTATTCTATCGATTGACTTTCCCATGAAAGAATATGCTGTCCTAGCATGACGTCTAATTTGCAGAAAAAGGAGGAACAAACTTCAACAAACGAGCCGAATATGGAAGTCAACGCGCGACTGCACGACTGCACGCAGCGCGCACGTGCCCGTAACGAGCGCGTGATTGGCTTTGTTTTAGTTTAGAAGTTGGGCGAAGACTATGAAGAATTGGAATGAATAAATTGTAACAAATTGATTTGATAAGAGAATTCGCTTACGTTTTTGAAGATTACGAAATAATTAAAAAAAAACCTGGAAGAGATTACTTCCTGCCGATAAAAGCTTTCATTCAATGACGATAAGTAAGTTATCCCGTTTTTTGCAGGAACTGTTTTTTTTTTCAAGACCCGGTTTATTAGTAATACGTCCTCTTTGCAGTGTCCCGCAAAAATCTGTTAAATTCGATCTCGGAATTCGAAATTGAATATGACAGCCCACTTTTGCGGTATAGGTACTGCATTTACTGCATCCCGTAAAACTGGATTGGTATGGGATTAAGGGCCCAGACTACGATGATAAATTGTCTGCTTAGGAATTATGTATTTTTTAAACTGTTTGCGGGACTTTTGTCTCCTAGATTTCTGATATGCACCGCTTCTAGGGAAAGTTCTTATGGAGGGTTATAAAAATCCAAAACACCCTGAGGCCTTTTCAAATTACTTTAGTTATGCACATTTGAACAAAAACAGAAGGGATAATGACGCGTTATGAACCCGTGTTTGGGGGAGGTTTTACCCGTGGCATCACTCGCTAGCGCAGCGGTGGTCCTGGGAACTTGAACGCTGTTGTTATAATAGCGTCACAGCTTTTAAAGTATACCTTACGGCTAAAATGCAGAACAAGCGAAAGATACCATAATAACTATTGATAAGTATTATTAAAACTGTTGAATTAATAAAATTTGTATTATAAATGAGAAATTTTGACAAATAAACCGAAAATACAATTAAACATTGCAACAGTAAATTATTTAGTTTAATAATTTAATTGATTTACCTACTTTTTTTGAAGACGAACACTTGCTAACGCCATCTACCGTAATTAAAACGAAACCTTTAGTTCTTCTACTTCTCGATAGAGGGCAGGAATAGTTTCATAGTAGTTCATCTTTTTGTCGCTAGATGGCAGTAACTGGTGGACTTAATTACTTATTTGCTCAACAGATGGCAGTGTAATTGAATGATAGTTCATGATTGCAATAAAAGATGGCGTTGTAAAAGAATACTTGAATTAGTTTTTCTACTCACCACTAGATGGCGATAGTAAGTTGATTAGTCTTGTTATTAGTTACTAGATGGCGTTAGTATTTTTGCTTAACTAGTTTTGTGCTACTAGCTTAAAAAAATGAACACCAGTAAAATTAACTGATGATAACTGATTTAAAATAGATAGCAGTAAATCAGTTATTTTTTTGTCGGCCGTTTGGTGTAGTGGTTCAGAACGGACTACTATACCGAGAGGTCCCGGGTTCGATTCCCGGCCGGGCAGAAATTGAAATGATGAATTTTAATTTCTGTGACGGGTCTGGGTGTTACTATGTATAATATGGTATGTATTTAAAAAAAAAATTATATAAGTAGTGTATCCGTCAAGCTAGCACCCATAACACAAGCATTAAGTTGCTTACTTTGGGGCTAGCTGGCGCTGTGTGAAATTGTCCAAAGATTTATTTATTTATTTTACGTTTTTAATCAATTAAATCTATAAAAAAGAAACGCAGCTATGCCATAAATTACTTTTCATGTAGGTATGTATGCCATATGGTATGGACTTTATTTTTTCAACCTGGGTAGTTTTATATTTTCATTTGTAAGTTTTATATGCTATCTAAGTACATATCTACAAACTAAAAAGATTTTATTTCATGATTTAGTTGACTCAGATGAAGCATTTCAAATTCGAACGCATGTATGAAATATTATTATGTAGGTATGTACTGGTAGTTATTTGTTATCGTAACTGGGAAATCAAGTAAAACAACCAGGTAGAAACTTACATAATTTTAATCTTATATTACATTTTAACAATTAACCTATTGTAACTGCTGTAGTCAATATTGTTTTACACTGGAATTTCATTTGAGGTCTCAAAATGACGAAAAATTACAAAATAGTTTTTAAGACTAACGCCCATACTACTATGAGGTCTCACAGTGCTCATGGACGCACAGGGTGCCACACGAACCAATCACAGAGCTCTATTCAACGCTGTGCATTAGATTGCTTCACTTTGTTTGTGAATGTGGGTGTATTTGAATTATTTTAATAACCTAACACTATAAAGACATTAAAAAGCTAGTTTCTTCATGAGAAGGTACATGTGCTGATCCACTTCGAATCCGTGCAAGTTGTTTGCGTCTCCTTGCAGACGCATGAGGAGTCCGCCGAATGAGACGTACGCTGCGAGCCGGGACGCTGGCTCCATGGCCGCTTCATCGCCTTCTATCCTGAAAAGTTATAACATAAGTTTAGCAAAACAAAGAACATTTAAATATTTTTATTACGTGGTTTCACAGATGGTAAGACTGAAAATGATGAGTTTAAACAGGGTTAAGGAGATGATTATTGTAAATGAATATTGATTCTGAGTAAATCGGACTGTTAAGAATTAAGATATCTAACCAACACAACATCATTGTTCATTGAATCATTCCAACATTGAGATTCTAAAATAAAAACCGTTTGTAATACCATATTTATGAGCACTTGCACTTCAATCATAAAGTCAAAAGGACTTGAGAAACGCTACTTTTTTTAGATTATTTTTGCACAATAATAAACAAACATCGAAAACTAACCTATAAACTTTCCCCGACATGACATACTCAAAGCTGTCGGCGCGGTTTCCCTCCGTCTCCAGAGGGTTCCATTCCCCTCCGTCGGGGTACCCGTTCTCCCTGAGGGTAGTCGCCAACACCAACCGAAACTTTTCGCCCAACTCCATCGGATAAATCCAGGAATTAATGTCCAAAATAAGATCCATTTTGAACGATTCTGATTCGCAGTGTAATCGACTCACGCGATCGAATTTCTTGCCTTCTGGATCCATGTCTTTAACGTTGAATATATCTTCAAACAGAACGCCTGCCATTTTTTGATATTTCAATACTTTTTAGCGCTGTAAAAATGGTACTTTTTAATTTTTTCATCAGCCTCGAAAAGATCGCGAGTTTTTGTTGACGAGGAAACGTCAAAATTGACAAATGCGCTACATGCATTATTTGAACGTTTATGGAGCGTTTAGTATTTCTTTACGACTAAAATTTTATCTTGAGAATTTTACGATTTATATTTTTCAGCTTATCAAAAAGGTTTTTTTTATTATTTTTAACGAATTCACTTATTATCAGTGTGTTAAAATCCTAATTAAAGCATTTAGTCTGATTTAATTACATCATAATAAACGCCCATGCGTTTTGTTAGCTCAGCTGGTTGTTGGCAACAATCGTCGAAATATGGTCGCGTTGCTACAAAATTAAAAAACTAACCTCCAACAACGCGCATTGCACGTGTCTCTTCTTTGTTTGTGCATTTATCGTGGTAATTTACATACAGTGCCCTAAATTAGGGCACTATATTGTTTGTGTGACTCTTCAAAGGGGTCACGAATATTATTTGCGTTGAATAATCGCGAATAAACCGCCATGACGGACGTGCTACCACCCGGCGGGGAAGTCTTCTCCGAGAAGAAAAAGAAGAAAAATAAGGAAGGAGTGTCGCTGGGAGCCTACCAGAAGCTTGGGGACTTCAAGATCGAGCCATCGGAGAGCGTGAGCAAGCTAGACACTGCGTATTGGCCGCTGTTACTGAAGAATTTCGACCGACTCAATGTGCGCACTAACCATTACACGCCTCTGCCTTTCGGCCATTCGCCTCTGAAGCGGCCCATCACCGATTACATCAAGTCTGGATTCATCAACGTGGACAAGCCGAGCAACCCAAGCTCTCACGAAGTCGTGTCATGGATAAAACGTATTCTGAAAGTGGAAAAAACCGGGCATTCGGGCACGCTCGATCCGAAAGTGACAGGTTGTCTGATCGTGTGCATCGACAGGGCGACGAGACTCGTAAAATCCCAGCAAAACGCCGGAAAAGAGTATGTTGCTGTCTTCAGCTTGCATTCTGCGGTGGAAAGTATAAAAAAAGTCACACAAGGACTGGAGAAACTCCGTGGCGCGCTGTTCCAACGGCCTCCACTAATATCGGCCGTGAAGAGACAGCTGCGAGTCCGGTCTGTGTATGACAGCAAACTACTGGACTTCGATCAGGAACGTAACATCGGTGTGTTCTGGGTGAGCTGTGAGGCTGGTTCGTACATCCGTACCATGTGTGTGCATCTGGGCCTGATGCTGGGCGTTGGGGGCCAGATGATCGAGCTTCGTAGAGTACGCTCTGGCATCCAAGGCGAGAAGGAAGGTATGGTGACGATGCATGATATTTTAGATGCGCAATGGGCGTATGAAAATCACAAAGATGAGACGTACATTAGGAGAGTTATAAAGCCACTGGAAGGCTTGTTAATTGCACACAAAAGAATTTTCATCAAGGACAGTGCGGTGAACGCTGTGTGTTACGGAGCGAAGGTGCTGCTGCCTGGTGTACTGAGGTACGAAGACGGTATAGAAATAGATCAAGAAATTGTAATCGTCACCACCAAAGGCGAGGCTGTGGCTCTGGCGATTGCGCTTATGACCACATCAACGATGGCTTCGTGCGATCACGGCGTCGCAGCGAAGCTAAAGAGAGTCATCATGGAGCGTGACACGTATCCCAGAAAGTGGGGCTTGGGACCCAAAGCATCCCAGAAGAAGCAGCTTATTTCGCAGGGAAAACTTGATAAATATGGAAAGCCTAACGAAAACACGCCATCGGAGTGGCTAAACAGTTATGTCGACTACAAGCCTCCCAAGAGCAAGAGTGAAAACGCTGAAAACGGTGACGCAGAAGAAGAAACTACGAGGAAACGGACAGCGAGCACTGCTAATGCTGACGACCCCAACAATTCGACTGAGCTGAAGTCAGAGAAAAAGAAGAAAAAGAAAAAACGCGACCAAGAGGAAACAGCAGACGGTGATGCGACCATGGACGGCACGACAGAAGACGCCGATGACTCTGCACGTAAAGAAAAGAAAAAGAAGAAGAGGAAAGACAGGGAACAAGAGAGACAGGACGAATGAAAACTTGAGTTAGTTATGTAAGTATATTGTTTTGACGTTTTATAATGTGATGGAAGATGGAGTCAATCAGTAAATCAGTTTGCACGAGAAGTTTTATTTTACTTAAGAAGATGTTCTTATAATAACAATTTTTATCCTTAACTAGCATTTTCACTAGACTAGATTATAGGGAATATCGTGTTATATCTCTAGAATACATTCTGTTGGTAGATGCCAAATATATAATTGTTTTAGAGCTAGACTATTTAGAGACAACCGTAAAGATGTGACTAACTAAAGGTTCAAATGTAACGTAACATGTTATTTTAAGTGCCTATTGAAACTATATTGTAAAATTGAGTGCTAAAAACATAACAACAATCTATATGCATATAAGCTTTATATAAAACATATTGAATTATAGCATTTTTCTCATATAAAATTACATTATATTAGCAAAGATACATCTCCTATTTTTATAGTGATATGTTTTGTTGAAATTCTCAGGTCTGTATTGTGAAATTACACTATAAACTCACACATAGAAGTCTAGTATTGGTTTAATTTCAATGAATGCTTGAATTAGTTTAGTAGATTCATACTTAGGTATCATTTTATAATACAGACCTTATACGATGAATGATGCATATTTTATAGGTGTGCTAGTTAAGCTACAATTTCCTTTGTAAATACGGGTTCGATTCGTTTAATAATCCCATTCTCATAAGTTGACACTAATTCACAATTCAGCGCAATGCCACTGAATAATATTCATTATAAAAACTTCAGAAAAACTGATTTTAAAAATCTAGCAAATGAATTATTTTGAAATTGGGATTCTTCAGATCGTTTTTTGTATAAAACGCACGTTTTTTAAATCAGTCGAATGTTTTTTAATGAAATTGTGTTCCAAAAAACACCTTTCTGAAACAGTCCCTGAGAAAAACCTAGAATTAAGTAAAATGTCAGTCTTGAATCAATGTTACATTGTTACGTAAAATTATAACTTGCATATTTTCATGCACCGCTTTGAATTGTAAATAAGTGAACTATTATTAGTATAAGTTAGTTCTAAGTTAAGTTGTTACTAGCCATGAGGGCTTGGTACGATAAATGTTGATCAGAAGGCTTGCAGGACGGATTGCCATATCTTAGTTCGGTGATTTTCATTTGTACTGTGTAAGACGTGTTGCAATCAACATTAAATTGAAATAAGGATATTTGTGTTTGATTTTCTTCTAAAACAACCCTAATAATAATCCTAGTATTCTTCTTTAGGTAGGTACCTAACAGACGCACGTCTCATAGTTTGACTAGACAATAACCTTCTCAGAACTATACTTCTGGTTTTGTGCATATTAATGAGTACCTAGATATGCTATCAAATTCTTATCAAAATGTTTACAGTCCCCTAGTTTTGTGGAAGCTAAGAATAGGTTATTCCTTGAGCTTGCGGCAAAGTAAAGCAGCTTGCATAAAATGCATCACATCATAATGATTCCAAATTGCACTTATAATTTTTAATCAATGATTTCATTTATTAGTTTTGCGATCAGTCCTAATGATGTACTTACGGCACCTACCCGTTTGTATTATGAATTAGCCATCTTTTAGGTTTGAGTAATCGAACCTTGATCCACGGTATACAAACCAACCACTCGGTATTTGGGTAGTATAATTTATTAAAAACTTTTTTTTGTCATTCGTTTCGTGAAACGTGCGTGGGACGGAACGTGTTTGACAACCATCAAAATTGACATTGACGGAAGCAGATAGCAAAAAAAACAGGTTTTTTGTGATTTTCGTAAAATGAAAGTGCTTCCTTTAGCCTTATTTCTTTGTTATTTGTTTGATTAATGTTAGTAAAATTTGTGTTTATTACACAATCCTGTCACCATGGCGGTCCACATTGAATTGGACAGCGATTTGTATACGTATGAGTACTTTCTGCAAGATGATGTGTGTAGATTGTGTTGGGGCAAAGAAGCTGTATGCGAGATTTTCGCGAAGCCTTCGGAGAATCAGCAGATCTTGAAGAATGTGCTACTAGAGAAGATAAGAGAATGCCTGGAATTGGACATAAAGGAAGGCACGCACCCGTACAAGGCTTGTTTAAGTTGTTACAGTAAGATAGAGGAGTTCTATATGTTCAAACAAGTGTGTAAAGAAACAAATAGGCGTTTGCACGATATATTCACTAAACACAGTAAATTATTAAATGAAAATATCGATTATAATGTCAAAATTGAAAAAGATGATACCGATTACTCAGATCTGGAGACTAAAGCAGACTGGATAATATTTGAAAGCGTTAACGAAACAGACAATGATAGCGACCACTCCGATATTGATGTAAAATCAAAACCGTTGAGAAAGAAAAAAAAGAGTTCGTACAAAAAGTTACGAACTCCCACGTATTGTAATATTTGTAGGCTAGATTTGGAAACGGTAGAGATTCTCGCTCAGCATAACGAGCAAGCGCACGGTATAGAGGAAAAGAGTGGTATGTTCAAATGTTTCGGTTGTGATAAACGGTTTAAGCACCGTAAGACGAGACTGGGACACGAAATAGCTGTGTGTAAAGGTTTGAAAGATGGTTACAAGTGTCCGAAATGTGATCGGTATCTGCCCAAGCGAGGGATGTACGAAGCTCACATGAGGGATCACCGGACGCAGCCAAACGTTGAGTTGCCAGAGGATATATTTCAGTGTTTCAAATGTTTAACGTATTTTAAGACTAAAATAAGTCTACAAGAGCATATGGCGCAACATGAGCCTAAGAAGTTTGTTTGTGAAGTAAGTTATCAAGCAACCATTCAAATAAATTAACAATATAAAAAAAATTAGTCTAAACAGTTATGCTGTAATAGTAATCAACCATTATTAATTGATTTTTATTATATTTTAATAGTTTGTGTGGAGTTTTACCCAAATTTTCGTCAAATTCAAGAAACATGCTGTAGAGATGATACCACTGACTCTGGCTAACTGCCTTGTTATGCATAAAAATAAATAAAAACTGCCTGAAATCTTTAAGAT